ATCTGTGGCCAAGTGATTGACAAGGGTGCCAACTCTAACTGGTGGGGAAAGAATAGTCTCTTCAACAGATATTATGGGGAAAACTAGATTTTCATACACAAGAGAATTAAGTTGAACCTCACCTATCTGACACCATATACAAAAGTTATCCCAATGATCTAAATATAAAAGCTAAAACCACAAAACTCTTAGAAGAAAACATAGAGGTAAATCCTCATGACCTTGGATTTGGCAATGGATTCTTAGATAGGACACCAAAAGGATAGCAGCAAAAGAAAAAACAGCTAAACTGGACTTCATCGAAAGTTAAAACTGACTGGGTGTGGTGGCTCACACCTGCAATCCCAGCAATTTGGGAGGCCAAGGTAGGAGGACTGCTTGAGCCCAGGAGTTCAAGACCAGCTTGGGCAACACAGGGAGATCCCATCTCTACAAAAAAATTTAAAAACTATCCAGGCATGGTGGTGCATGCCTGTAGTCCCAGCTACTCGGGAGGCTGAGGCAGGAGAATGGCGTGAACCCGGGAGGCGGAGCTTGCAGTGAGCTGAGATCTGGCCACTGCACTCCAGCCTGGGCGGCAGAGCGAGACTCCGTCTCAAAAAAAAAAAAAAAAAAAAAAAAAAAGAACTCTACTGCTCAAAAACACAAAAGACAACCCAATTTAAAAATGGGCAGAGGGGCCGGGCGCAGTGGCTCACACCTGTAATCCCAGAAATTTGGGAGGCTGAAGCGGGTGGATCACCTGAGGTCAGGAGCTCAAGACCAGCCTGGCCAACACGGTGAAACTCCGTTTCTACTAAAAATACAAAAAAATGGGAGGGGGGAGGGATTGCATTGGGAGTTATACCTGATGTAAATGACGAGTTGATGGGTGCAGCACACCAACATGGCACAAGTATACATATATAGCAAACCTGCACGTTGTGCACATGTACCCTACAACTTGAAGTTTAATAATAATAAATAAATTAAAAAAAAAAAACAAAAAAATTAGCCAGGCGTGGTGGCAGGCACCTGTAATACCAGCTAGCTACTCGGGAGGCAGAGGCAGGAGAATCACTTGAACTCGGGAGGCGGAGGTTACAGTAAGCCAAGATCGTGCCATTGCACTCCAGCCTGGGCAACAAGAGCAAAACTCCGTTTCCAGGAGAAAAAAAAAGGCAAAGGACTTCAACAGACATTATTCTAAAGAAGACATACAAATAGTCAATAAGCATATGAAAAGATGCTAAACAACATTAATCACGAGAGAAATGCAAATCAAAACCACAATGAAATACAACTTCACATCTACAAGGATAACTATACTAAAGATAAACAGAAAATAATGAGCGTTGGCAAGGATGTGGAAAAACTGGAATCCTTGTACATTGCTAGTGGGACTGTAAAATGGTGAAGTTGTCATACAAAATGATATGACAGTTCCCCAAAACCTAAACAGAGAATTACTATATGATCTAGCAATTCTGCTGCTAGGTATACACCCAAAAGTTTTGAAATCAGTCACTCAGACACCTGTATACTATTGTTCATTGTAGCATTTTCCAATAGCCAAAAGATGAAAATAACCCAAGTTGTCCATCAACGTAAGAATAAATAAAAAGTGGTATATACACTTGATCTTAGCCAAAAGGCTGAGAAGTGATAAAATGCATACATATACAAAGGATATTCCTTTTTATTCAGCTAAAATAAGGAGTGATATTCTGACATATGCTGTAACATGGATGAAGTATGAAAATTTTATGCTAAGTGAAACAGCCAGACAAAAAACGACAAATATGATTCTACTTACATAAAATACTCAGAATAGGGACATTCATAGAAGCAGAAAGCAGATTAGATGTTCCCTGGGAAAAGGGGAAGGGATAAGGAGAAGTCTCAGTCTCTTTTGTGTTGCTATAAAGGAGTACCCGAGGTTGTGTAATTTATAAAGAAAAAAGGTTTATTTAGCTCATGATTCTCATGTCTGGAGAAGCTCAAGATTGGGCATCTGCATTTGGTGAGGGCCTCAAGTTGCTTCTACTCATGGCAGAAGGCAAAGGGGAGGTGGCAGTGTAGAGAGTACATGACCAGAGAGAAAGCAAGAGAGATGGGGGAGGTGGGGGGGTGGGGAGGGAAGGTATAGGCTCTTTTTATCAAACAGCTATAGTGAGAACTGACAAAGTAACAACCCATTCACCTCCAAAGTAGGGCATTATTCACGTATTCATGGGGGATCCGCCCCCATGACCCAAACACCTCCCATTAGGCCCCACTTCCCAATACTGCCACACTGGGCATCAAATTTCAACATGAGATTTGGTAAGGACAAATATCCAAACCATAGCAGGGAGTTATTGCTTAATGGTTACTGTGTTTCTGTTTAAGGTAGTGAAAAGGTTGGTAAACAGTGACAGTGATCGCACAATACTGTGAATGTACTTAATGCCCCTGAATTGTACCCTAAAAAATTGTTAAAATGGCAAATCCACGTTATATATATTTTACCACTTCAAAAAGTTAATTATATAAAAAAGAATCGTATACTTTAAATGGGTGAATTACATGGTATGTGAGTTATAGCTCAGTAAAGTTGTTAATTAAAAAAAAAGAAAGAAAGAAAGAAAAGCAGGTGTCCTAGCTGTAGTGTCTCTTGGGATGCAATTACACCTGAAACCAAAAGATAACATCTGTCTTTGTCCCCAGTTTCCACTTCACTCAGAAATATCTGTCACATAGATCTCCAAGTTACAAATTCGATTTAATAAACACATGGCATATTCTAAGTTCATCCGGCATACCAACAGTTATTGGGTACTTATGTACCAGGCTCTGGGCAGGACACTAACCTCAGAGTGGGGGAGTCTGGAGAGACCAAGAGATGATTATAGTACAACAATGGGAGTGTCCTTATAAAGGGAAGCAGCATAGGACAGAATGGGAAGGGTCCTAGCTCTGCCAAAGAAGGCTTTGGTTTAAAACTTTGGAGAAAAGTGGCCAGGCGTGATGGCTCACACCTGTAATCCCAGCACTTTGGGAGGTCACATCACTTGAGGTCAATAATTTGAGTGGACAAAATGGTGAAATCCTGTCTCTGCAAAAACAGAAAAATTTGCCGGGCATGGTGGCGCACATCTGTAAATCCCAGCTACGCCGGAGGCTGAGGCACAAGAATCTCTTGAACCCGGGACGTGGAGGTTGCAGTGAGCCGAGATCGTGCCACTGCACTCCGGCCTGGGCGACAAAGGGAGACTGTCTGAAAAATAAAAAAATAAAACTTGGGAGCAAGAAATTAATCCACTGTTGTTTTTAAACTCTTATGTACGTACTTAATTTTCAAGATTCTATGACCAAACTGGAAAATGATGAATACAAAAAAAATCCATCTATTTTTGCAAATATGTTATTAAAATGTAAACAAAAAAGATGAAAAACCATATTCCACTTATTTTCACTGATGGAGATGATGCCAAGCACTTGAAACTTCAAAGAAAGCTTTTTCAGTATCTCATACTTATCCATCAATCTTTTAAAATCCCTTCCCTAGCAACCCAACACCTAAGTTTCAGAGCATGACTTAAACACCAACATGTTCATCTAATCCTACCTGAATTTTGCTTTAACTTAGGTTTATCCTTATTGGGGACTGAAATGATTTGCTCAAGATAAACCGAAGTCAGTTTAAAAATTACTCAGATGATAGTAGTTACTAGGATGCTCATAGTTCCCTTTTCAACAAAAGCCCCAGGCACGACCAGCCAATAATGCAAGTCACACTTAAGCGTTGACATCTTCATACCCGGCCCGGCCCCGTATGAAGTGAGGGGGGTCTCCAGTAAAGTCAGTCAGGAAGCTCCTCGAGCCAAGTATTCCCAAATGCTACTTACTGGAGGTACAAAAATGAGAGTAACTTTTCTGAAGTTATTCATTTCACAATCTATACCAGAAGCCTTGTGGTATAGATTGTAGATTCTATCTTGTTTTAGAACGAATCTTGTGGGATTCATTCTCCACAAATGATCATGCTCAAAATCCCAGATGCAACGGTGCTCAGTTAATTACTTTTTGCAGTAACTAAAAACTGGAAACCACTTGGGCGTTCACAATCAGGGAGAAACTACCTTTAGTAAATCACATTCCAGTCAAAGCCATGCCAGGAGTCAGGGATAGATGAGGCAGTCAACCTGGCACACAGGAATGTACAGTCTAGTGTGGCCAATAAAAAGGACGCAGAAAAACATTTAAAGATACGGGTAAATGCATGTGATGTATTATTAAGACAATGAGGCCGAAGGTTGAGGCTGCAGCAGTGAGCCGAGATCGCGCCACTGCATCGTTCCAGACTGGGCGACAGAGCGAGACCCCCTCTCAAAGGAGAGAGAGAAAGAGAGAGAGAGCGCGCGCGAGAGCGAGCGAGCGAGCGTGTTTCAGCACTTTATGATGCAGGTTCTGCAAAAATAAGCCCCGCTCATATTACAAGGAAAAACCGTCTGGAAGAAAATACATCTTCATGTTAACCCAGCTTGTCTCTGGGGAACATGGGCACGGCTGCTTTGTTTGCTTCCTTGTTGCTTTCTGTTCTTTTTTTCGACAGTGACAAATATTATATTTAGAGTTCGCGAACAGGCCGGAGGCGGGTGCGGCAGGTCGCGGGGCAGGGCCTGGCCAGGCAGGGACGCCCCCGCACCGCCCCGGTCTGGCCCCGCGCCCCGCCGCACCTCTACCTTTACCCGCGGTGAGCGGGAGCCGGGTCCCGCCCCGAGGCCTGGGATCACCGGCGGGCCGGCTGGAAGCGTCCGGAACTCACCCAGCGCCTCACCCGCCTGGGTCTCACCGACCGCGCAGACACCTCCCGCCGCCGCCGCCGCCCAGAGATGGCCGCCGCCTGCGCAACAGGGCCGAGGGCGTGGGGATGCCGCGGGCTGCGCGCAGGGGCTTCCAGGGTGCGCAGCTGACGGGCCTGAGGCGTCCAGGCGGGCGCAGGCGCGACCCCGACCCCACCCGGGCTGCTGCCTCACCTGTGCGCTGTGGGCCGTGGGAGGCTCTGGGGTAGGTTTCACCAAACAACCGGTTGGTTCCGACTCGGCTACGTAGGCCGCGTGGCCTTGCTTCCCTCGCAGAGAAAAAGGCGCAGCCGGCGCGGAGGTTGAAAGCTCTGCAGGCGCGAGTACTAAACGCGCCGACTGTTTGTCGCGCCTCAGGTCCCCTGGGGCGCCCAGCGCAGGAGGCCACCCCTCCCGCCGCCACGGACCCAACCCCGGTCCTCTGCCTTAGCCAAAGGCCGCACCCTCAGCACACAGGCCTTCCTCAGCCCCAACCCAGGACATCACCAGGTCCCGCAGTGCGTCCAGTCTCCCCGCCAGCAAGTGTGGGTAGGAGCCGGCCGCTGGCCCCGCGCTGGGCACAACCTGGTGGGCTAAACCAGCCCTGTGCCTGCTCTGCAGCTATGGGGAAGGGAAACCTGGTCATGGCAGCTATGGCATTCGCTCCTTAAAACCTCTTTATGGAGTCTCATTCCTTTTTTAAAGACCCAAACTACTTAAGGTGGGCATGAAGCCCCCATGTGTGATCTAGCCCCTGCCTGCTTGGCTTCATTTAGGTCCTTAAAGGATGTAGGTTTCTTCTCACCTAGGGCATCTGCAAATGCTCTTCCCTCTGCCTGAACACTCCTCACCTCTTCCCTGTTGTGAGTGTTCTTCATACATCATTTCTTAGGTTACACTATCCTGGCCCATGAGACTTTGCAGCATTGCTGGGTGTGGTGGCTCATACCTGTAATCATGGCATTTTGGGAGGCAGAGTGGCGGATCGCTTAAGTCCAGGAGTTCAAGACCAGCCCGGGGAACATGGTAAAAAAAAAAAAAAAGAAAGAAAGAAAAAGAAAAAGAGAGCGAGAGAATGAGAAAAAAGGAAAGAAAATAGCAGCTCAGGCCTGTAATCCCAGCTACTTGGGACGCTGAGGTGGGAGAATTGCTTGGGCCCCGAAGGGAGGTAGAGGCTGTAGTGAGCTGTGATTCACCATTACACTCCAGCCTGGGCAACAGAGCGAGACCCTGTTTCATTAAAACACACACACACACACACACACACACACACACACACACACACACACAAAAACACAAAAAAAACCCAGCCGGGCTCAGTGGCTCACACCTGTAATCCCAGCACTTTGGCACTTTGGGAGGCTGAGGCAGGCATGGCAAAACCCCGTCTCTACTAAAAATACAAAACTTAGTGGGGTGTGGTGGTGCATGCCTGTAGTCCCAGCTACTTGGGAAACTGAGGCAGGAGAAATGCTTCAACCTGGGAGGTGGAGGTTGCGGTGAGCTGAGATTGCGCCACTGCACTACAGCCTAGGTGAAGAGCAAGACTGTCTCAAAAAAAAAAAAAAAGAAAGAAAAAAACAAACAAAAAACAGCTGGGCACGGGGGCTCACACCTGTAATCCCGGCACTCTGGGAGGCCAGGGTGTGCGGATTGCCTGAGGTCAGGAGTTTGAGACCAGCCTGGCCAATGTAGTGAAACCCTATCTCTACTAAAAATACAAAAATTAGCCGGGCATGGTGGCATGCTTCTGTAATCCCAGCTACTCAGGAGGCTGAGGCAGGAGAATCACTTGACCTCAGGAGGCAGAGGTTGCAGTGAGCTGAGATCACCTCACTGTACTGCAGCCTGAGCCACAGAGTGATACTTCATCTCAAAAACAAAAACAAAAAAACACAAAGATTGCAGCACCAGGGATTCTTCTTCCTAGCCCCTTTCAGGGTGTGCAATAATTTGTGTAATTTTTGTTGAATGTGTAACTTAACAGTAGACTGAGATCCATGAAGGCAGAGACCACGGCCGCTTGGCTCTCATTCTTGTATGTCTCACATCTGCACTGCGCAGGCCCATATTAGCTCTGGTAAATATTTATTAAATGAATGAATGAATGAAGAGCAGGCCTGGGTAGTGTCTTAGGTGGCCTTGATTTTCAATTTAAGGAGGATACAGTATTGCCTACAGAGAGTGAGAAAAATTGTTGAGTGGGCCATGTGAGGAGCAGTGAGTGGTCCCTGTGGAGAGTACGCCCAGTCATAGAATAGAGACAAGTGAAGGGATTTTGGAGGGTTTTGAGGGCCCAGCATATTTGGGGGCTGCTATGGTTTGAATGCTGGTATCTCCCCGAAATTCATATGTTGAAACCTAACCCCCAATACATTCAGATTAAAAGGATGAGTCCTTTGTGGGGGAAATTAGTGCCCTTGTGAAAGAGGCTTGAAGGAGCCTGTTTGACCTTTCTGCCATGTGAGGATGCACTGAGAAGAAACCATGTTTGAAGCAGAGAACAAGCCCTCAGCAGACTATGACTCTGCTGGAGCCTTAATCTTGGATGTCCCAGCCTCCAGAACTGTGAGCAATACAATTCTGCTGTTTATAAATTACCCAGTCTAAGTTTTTTTTTTTTTTTTTTTTTTGAGTCAAGGTTTTACTTCAGGCTGGAGCGCAGTGGCATGATCACAGCTCACTACAGCCATGATCCACATTCTGGGCTCAAGCGATCCCGCTACCTCAGCCTCTCAAGGAGCTGGGACTATAGGTGCATGTCACCACACCTGGCTAATATTTTAAAACTTTTTGTAGAGGCCAGGCACGGTGGCTCAAGCCTGTAATCCCAGCACTTTGGGAGGCCGAGACAGGCGGATCACGAGGTCAGGAGATCGAGACCATCCTGGCTAACACGGTGAAACCCCGTCTCTACTAAAAAAAAAAAAATACAAAAAACTAGCCGGGCGAGGTGGCAGGTGCCTGTAGTCCCAGCTACATGGGAGGCTGAGGCAGGAGAATGGCATAAACTGGGAGGCGGAGCTTGCAGTGAGCTGAGATCCGGACACTGCACTCCAGCCTGGGCAACAGAGGGAGACTCCATCTCAAAAAAAAAAAAAAAAAAAATTTTTTTTATAGAGACAGGGTCCTACTATGTTGCCCAGGCTGGTCTCAAATTCCTGGGCTCAAGCAATTCTCCCACCTTGGCCTCCCAAAGTGTTGGGATTACAGGCTTGAGCAACTGCACCTAGCCTTTCTCCCCCTCCTCCCTCCTCCCTCCCCCTCCCCCTCTCCCCTCCCCCTCCCCCTCTCCCCTCCCGTTCTGCTTCCCCTTCCCTTTCCCCTTCCCCTTCTTCTCCTTCTCCTTCTCCTTCTTGTATTTTTATTGTTGTTGTTGTTGTTTGAGATGGAATCTCACTGTGTCACCCAGGTCTGGAGTGCACTGGCATGATCTTGGCTCACTGCAGCCACTGCCTCCCAGGTTCAAGCAATTCTCCTGCCTCAGCCTCCTAAGTAGCTGGGACTACAGGCGCACACCACCACGCCCAGCTAATGTTTATATTTTTAGTAGAGATGGGGTTTTGCCATATTGGCCAGTATGGTCTCGAACTTCCGACCTCAGGTGATCCACCCACCTTGGCCTCTCAAAGTGCTGGCGTGAGCCACCACACCCAGCCTTTCAAGTATTTTGTTACAGCAGCCAAAATGGACTTAAGATAGGGACATCTAGGCCCTATTGTGTAACTTCTTTCTGCATCTTTATGTTAATATAAAGAAGGACTGTTTCATCTTTGGAGTTTGTAGGATAGGTGCAGTTTCTAGGTGCTAAGCAAGTATGTGAGAGAAAGTAGTTAAGAGACAATAGGAAACAACCTACTGATGAGGTTAACCAGTCTGCAAAGTGATAAAGACTGATTACTAAGTGAATTATGATACAAGGATTCTACTTAGCACTGCTTTTTTGTTTGCTACCCTGTACTGAGGGCTCCCTGAAGACAAAGACTTCATATTTGTATTTTCTTCTATAGCAGTGTTTTTTGTCTTTTTTTTTTTTTTTTTTGAGACAGAGTTTCATTCTGTCACCCAGGCTGGAGTGTAGTGGCATGATCATAACTCGCTGGAGCCTCAAACTTCTGGCCTCAAGCAATCCTCCTGCCTCAGCCCAAGTTGCTGGGATTATAGACATGAACCACCAGCCCCAGCTGCTGCAGCAGTGTTTTGAACAGAGAGTTTGCAATAAATGGTTGTTGAAATAATGAATTGGGGGGAAAGGTAAAAGGCTCCAGAGTGGAAATTCCCAGAGACGAGAAACAGCTAGCTGATTTCTTCTAGTCATTATTTCTTCTGAGAAACAATCCTGAGTTGCTGGGCTAGAACCAGGAAACCCTGGTTGGGGAGCAGCTCAAAGACATTATTGAATGAAGGATATTTTCTTAAAAACTTGAAGAATCTGGATATCTTTTACAAGACCAATAAGGTATAATTCATAAAATGCTTGTTATGTGACTTATATGCCATTGCCTCTAGTTCTCACAACAGTTCAATGATTCTATTTACCTCCTTTTACAAAAAGACCCAAAGCCCAAAGCCCTTCAGAAGTTGCAGGGCCAAGATGGGGAGCCAGGCCTGTGGGATTGGAAAAGTTTATGTTAAGGTAGCCTGTTATTAGAAAAGTATTGATTGTGCTTGAAGAAAAATCCAGGCCCACTCTTAGAGGCCTTGGGAACCCCTCTCCCCAGGGATTTCAGAGTACAGCAGAGTCTGGCCTGCCCGTGAGGTACACCCAACTCTGCCCAGAGTAGGGAAGACAGTCCACAATTCCTCTATTGGCTTGTTCTGTGCCACTGTTTCTTCTCTGGGCATAGTTTCTGAGGTACCTGGCATTGAGGAACATACCAGTTTGGGCTGCATTTTCCACCTATCTATCCTACAGGCCCAGGACATCTGAGGTAGTATATTAGTTCATTTTCATGCTGCTGATAAAGACATACCAAAACTGGGAACAAAAAGAGGTTTAATTGCACTTACAGTTCCCTATGGCTGGGGAGGCCTCAGAATGATGGCGGGAGGTGAAAGGGCACTTTACATGGTGGCAGCAAGAGAAAATGAGGAAGAAGAAAAAGCAGAAACCCCTGATAAACCCATCAGATCTCGTGAGACTTATTCACCATCATGACAATAGCATGGGAAAGACCAGCCTCCATGATTCAGTTACCTCCCCCTAGGTCCCTCGCACAACATGTCAAAATTCTGGGAGATACAATTCAGTAGAAATTTGAACAGGGACACAGCCAAACCATCTCATTCCACCCCTGGCCCCTCCAAATCTTATGTCCTCACATTTCACAATCAATTATGCCTTCCCAACAGTTCCCCAAAG